TCTTCATTTCCGACTGCAGTTCTTCCGGTCGAAACCAAGGAGTTCACATCACCGCCGACACCTTCTTCCCTTTTTTTTTCTTTTTTGTTTATTCTCTTTTTTTTTTTACTCTATGTTGAAGCTCGTGTCAATGTGACACCAAAATGGACACAATGAAATGAATGTATAGGTAGGATTTTATTTAGTATATAGAGGTCACAAATTAAATCAATTTATAGATTTACCCATAAAAAAGAAAAAGAAAAAAAAAAAAAAAAGCACATTACAAATACGTCCAGTATGGGATACTTATTCATAAAAGGGGTTCATACTAAAAACTATTTTACAAAAAAATCCAGACATTATCCAGAGGTATGTAAAACCCTACAATACACATTCACATTTTAATATGCTTCATTTTCATCCTTAAATTCAATTTAACCTTTTGACCCCAAATTTCACAAATTGTTCAATTTTGACCAAAAACTCAATTTTGAGTACAATTTCGACAGTCGTCGCCGTTGATCGCCGGTCTCCGGCGTTGACTTTTGTTTTCCCTGTTTTTTCAGCCGGTTTCCGGCGTTGACTTTTTCATATTTTTTTCCTCCTGCTTTTTCCGCCGTTCTCGGGCGTTAACTTTTTATTATTTATTTATTAATGTATTTATTTTCTCTCTTCAAGATCTTTTAGCCCCGTTTAAACAGTAATATTGTTGTGGTTGACCGTCGTATTAACTATATTACTGTTGTTTAACACAGTAATATTAACTATATTACTGTTCAACACAGTAATATTAACTATACTACAGTTTAACATAGTAATATTGTTATATTACTCTCTAGCATGGTAATATTAACACAACAAAAATCACTATTATTGTGTAGGGTTTGTCTACGGTGAGATCCCAACAACACATCTCATGTGAGATATGTATCTCAAATCGCGCCACGTGTCCCGGCGATATAATTGATTTTTTAATGATTTGTGTATTGTCTAATTTAGGGGTGTAAACGAGCCGAGCTCGAGCCGACCTCGCCTTATTTCGTGAGCTCGAGCTCGAGGAGCCTATAAGTTTTAGCTCGAGTTCGAGCTCTTTGTGTTTCTAAGGAGCTCGAGCTCGCGCTCGAACTCGTATACGAAACGAGCCCGAGCTCGAGCGCGAGCTCGGCACAACCAAAAATCCATCCATTAAATTTATTTTTTCAATTAAAAAAGTAATATTATTCTTTTTTTATTTATTATTAATAATATCCATTATTATATATTATTAATATGTATTATATTAAAAAATATAGAGAAAAGGTAAAGCTCGCGAGCCTGCTCGCGAGCTGTCGAACAACTTAAATGAAGCTCGAGCTCGACTCGACGAAAAGCTCGGCTCGTGAGCTCGAGTACGAGCTTTTTTCGAGCAAGCTTCGGAAGCTCGCGAGCCGGCTCGTCTCATTTACACCCCTAGTCTAATTCACCCTTATTACAAATATTTAATATTTAAAAATATAAATAATAAATTTTATGCGAAGTGTCTTTTGTACCCGTTGTATTTTATAAATTTTAAATATATTTATTGCTGCATTTGTAGTCAATTATTATTATTCATGAAATGAAACTGGGCAATTATTATTCATCAAATGAAACTGGGTCACTGAATTGACCCGACTTCATCAAATGAAACTGAGTCCGGGTCACTGAGTTGACCCGGCTAGAATCTTTAAAACATATTTAAATTAATTATTTACTAAAATATAGTCAGGGATAAATTAGACAATTCGATATTAATCTATTTTATATTGGTTTAAAAAAAATAATCGAATGATATTTTGGTAAAATGCTTCATTTTTTGTAACACCAGCCATGCTATTTTCCTAGGGTTCAGATTTAATCTTAGAAAATTAATAGTGATTGAAGCATATCTCATATAAGTTTAGAACACGGGATATCTCACCCTAGATAAATCCTATTGTGTAATAGAGTAATATTAATATGTTGACCATTCAACAAATGCAAAGATAATAAAAGGCCAAAAGAATTAATATTGATGTGGTTGAGAGTAATATCATTGTCATCCATAGCAATATTACTGTACCGACAGTAATACTACCGTCAACCACAGTATATTATTGTGCTTATAGTAATATTACAATAGTATACAGTAATATTATTACGTTAATTGGTCAACAAATCAAACAAAACAAAAAGGCAAAAAAAAAATATTGATGTGGTTGACAATAATATTATTATGTGTACAGTAAATTTACCATCAACGACGGTAATACAATTACGTTGGCTTGTCATCAATTCAAACAAAATCAAAAAAGACCAAAACAAATAGTATTGTTGTGGTTGACATTAAATTGTACTGTCATTGACAGTACAATTAATGTTAGTGACAATATGATTACAGTTAGTGACAGCATAATTACGGTCAACGTTGAGTGGCAGGCGTAAAGAAAAGGATAACATTTGTAGGGGGAAAAATTGAAAAAGTCAACATTGGTTTCCGGTGTTGACCGGCAGTCAACGCCGGAAACCGGCGGCAGAAAAAACATACAGGAAAAAAAATTGATTTTGTACCTAGACACATCTAGTGAATAGATTTTGGATTACAGTATTCACGTAAGTGTGTTTATAAAGGGTTACTCACATAACAACATTTACTTGATGTTGAAAGATATTCGTCTATAAAGCTTATGTAAGAGATTTGGGATTGAGGCTATAAGGACTCTTATGTTTTCTTTTGAATTTGAAATAGATATTTAGTACCACCATTAGATGGATTTACATTTTCTCTTGAACAAATTCAGTTAGCTTGTTCATTTGAAAATATTAATCTTGTTCTATTTCATAATTCAAAATTTGACCTATAATTTAAGGAAAAGTCTTCTACAGTAAAATCTTGCATAAGCAATTTAAAATGGTACAAAATTTAAGAATAGAACATTCAAGGATTTAAGTCATTCTTCTTCATTAAGGTACATTTGGGAGAAACATTATATATATTATATATGAATTAGTTAATGTAGGGAAAATTTATACCTTAATGAAGAGACATTATCTTTAAAAATGAATCAATTCGATTCTTAATATTGATTTTGACAATGTACATATTTTTATACTTGTTATTGTTGAAAAGTAAATTTGAAATTTTGATAAGACAATGTTGAACAATTCCCCAACCAAATTTTATCTTTGCAAAATAAGAGTAAATTAACCCTCAAATATCATCTAAACTTGGGGGTGATTTTCAATGGGGAAATTAGTCAGAGCTCTCTTGTTATAACTTACCCACATGTGCTATGAGATTATAGCCTAAAATAACTTTTTTTAGAAGCAAAATCAAAAGTTAATTTAGGATACTCAAAAATTGTTTATCATAAAATAATAAATAAATAAAATTATAATCAGTTTTCAAAAACTTTTGCAAACACTCCCTTAGCCGAGTGGCATGCCTGCAAATGCTCGCTTGTTTCTTATATTTATTGGTCCTTGAGTGCACAAATCAACCTCATAGGAACTCAGTTTACATTCATAAGCATGATTAATAAAGGTTATGTGCACCTTGAGATTACTTCTTTTATATTCATGAGTCGATTAATAAAGATTGGGCAATGCCTGTATGTTATTGTGTTGTTTGGTTAATGCTGCATAATTATTGTATACTTGGTAAAACCATGGTGTTGTTCGTTTGTGTGAAGAATTGTTGAAGTGCACTGGCGGAGCTTCTATGGGGCAGGAGGGGGCTGTTGCCCCCCATAATTTTTTTTTTAAATACTATTTTATATATATATATATATATATATATATATATATATATATATATATATATATATATATATATATATATATATATATATATATATATATATATATATATATATATATATATATATATTTACACATATTTATATATGCCCACATTAAAAAATAAATTATTATTCCCACCTTTTAAATTAACTTTCTATTATAATGTATCCTATAAAATATTTTTCACAATCCCAATCCCTAATCTCTATTAAAGCTTGTGATAAAAAAATAATATAACATAAAATAGAAAATATTTATTTTCTTTCTTCTCAATGTTTAAAGTTTTCAATCCATCGAATTTCTTCAACTCAATGTATACTATATTACAATTTATTTACATAAGTTTATGAATATTGTTTTGACAACAATATATATTACTCATTACTTATTTGTGTTGGTTTTCTTCATAAATATCCCTAAAAAAATTCGGGAGCGCTGCCCCTGAACCCCCACCGTATATTTATTAATCAACTCTCTAAAGTTTTCAGCCCCCTACAAAAAAATCCTGGTTCCGCCCCTGTTGAAGTGGTTGACTGATTTACTGTCTAAATCAGGCCATACAACGATAAAAATCCCAAGTGCAAGTTTACCCCGATAACATTTGTATCAGAGATCGGTTTTTGAGTTCTGAATGATGTTTTTCGGTAATGAAACGAAAGGTCGGAGTTCGTAAAATAATGGAAGTAGGAGAATACTCTAGAAGCACCAAACTACTCTAACTTTTCCTCACTTCTCCCTTCTCATTCCATCGGTTTCTCCCCGTTTTCCATGGATTAATTTGCATTACAAATCTTTCATAGACTTTTTGTTGTATAAACGAAAACTTTCAAGCATTACACAGTTTACTTTGTAAGAACTCACTTATCGTTCGTGACTTACGGCAATTCTTATGTTGATAACTAATCCGCAGTTCCGCACTTCTGAATTTTAGGTTTTATTCTTTGTTGTTTGTTGATTTGTTGGTGCTGAGGACAGTACTGATTCTATCCTTTTTGTTTTTAATATTTTCTCTCTGTGATTCTTTCATTTATTATTTTCCAGATATTATTTCATTGATCGTAAAAGTCCGAGCCTATCATAATCGGGCATAATTCGTTCAATAGTACGGTGCCCTCTTGTGTGTTTTCTAACAATCCCTGCATAATTACTCGGTCATCTTCGATCTGAATACCTACACAGAAAAGAAACAAAAAAAAAAAAAATACAGCAAGAGAGACTATCATTGAATTTAATATACAAATCGATATAAAATAGACGCCGAGGTACCTGTACAAATTGTTGATAATTGTCGAAACACGAGCTCAATATAATACAAAACTATACATTGGGTTCTCTTCCTTACACAACAAATTTTATTCAAGTACTACACAATATAACATCAAGAGATGACTTCCCCCCCTTGTTACTTTGGGCAAAGGCAACGGAAAATTCCAGTAAGCCCGAGATATGAAGTCTACAGCAATAAAACACCGATGAAAACCCAATGCTGCAAATTCCATCCTCGTTCAACAATCCCGAACAGAAACAAGTCGGGTTTTTATTTTTTTTCCTTTTTTTTCTTTTTTAACAGCAATAGAAATATTACTATGTGAAACTAACCTGCCTCTCCCACGTGACATCTTCGGAGAATCGTGAGAGAGCGGCTCGTGGATCACCGTTCGATATAGCCAAGTAGTATTGAGCGGTGCCATCATCCACATTCATGCTCCTCTTCAACGACTCAATCACCCTTCTTTTGCCTCGCTCAGTGGTCGGACTATTCGAAAGGGGGGCAAGATTCCCGTGGGGCCCACCATCAAGATACAGAACCGCCACCTCCCTTTTTGCATGGGTATCCACTTCTATGTAGCATGTCGAATTCACGAGAATTTCTGGTTTGCTTACAGGGATTAGCAGCCGCTCCCTGGAGTATATACCGTGATCGCTCATCATGTTATTTAAGCGTTTTATGTTCATAACCTGTCAAAAAGTTGCAAATCATCGATAAGTCATGCTGTAAAATGTCCATACAAATGATAGAAAGAGATTTTAGATAAATATAAGCATCATCGATTTAACATCTCCATGCAGTTAAACCAAAAGAAACAACTAACCAACCCTCATTAGGAGAGTTGGTACCTAGCCTTTACCAATAGGGTAACGGTCTAGGGGTCGAGTCCCCCCCTCCCCTACTTCCCCTTGTAATGGACTTGAATTTACTCAAAAAAAAAAAAAAAAAAAACAAAAGAAACAACTAGAGAACACCTTTACATATATATATATATATATATATATATATATATATATATATATATATATATGTGTGTGTGTGTGTGTGCGTGTGTGTGTGTGTGTGACTCAATAGCAATCGACAAACGACAAACTTACCATTCAATTACATGACATATCACACAACGAACCAATATTCACACGACCAACTCGAAACTGTACCAAAAGAGCCTCGGTGTCAAAGAAACATAAGACCAAGCTCCCTAGACTACTTCACTGTTTCAGGTTATTGATTCAAGTTATCTTATATTACAAAAATTTGGTGAAAATTAGATTCCTCAAAGGTCAATAAAACACATTTTTTTAGATTGAATGTAAATTAGATTAATCGATTAATCTCCTATCCCCTACGTCAGCACCAAAACTGAAATTGAATAATCTTCATTTTACTAATATTAAATAAGAAGAGCATCAACCATGAAAATTTTCCAAGTTCAAAACGATTAAGAATTTGCGTGTAAATGCCACATTTTCCATTTGAGATCATTGCCAAGAACATTTATACTATTTATTGACATTTTACAACTATTTCCGGCCATTGCTTAAGAGGCTAAAAAGCCTCAAATCAAATTTGACAATAATATCCAAACAAAAGTATCTTCAATGAGCTCCGACAACTTATGCCGTTACGCGTGAAATCAAATTCTTAGGATCTCAAATCAATCTCGAGTCATGCAATTAAAATTTTCGGAACATCGATATGCACTTAAAACGACCCGATCGATACCACATACATCAAGTTAAAAACAATGATTCGAAACCGCAATTGTAAATCAAGTTTCGAAAAATATAATGTATGTTATAACAATTCCATTAGTAAACATTTACAATCACTCTGAGGACTGAGTTAACTCAGCACATACTCAATAAATTCAAACAGAAATTACTTGTACCAGCAAAACCTAATCCAATACGCGTGAAATCAAATTCGAACAATTTTAGTATACGAGAGTCACCTGAACGGAGTACTTAACAGCCAGGCTAGCGATGGAGTCGGCACGCGAAACACGGTGAGAAATGGCGAATTTAGAGAGTGAATTGTCCCGCCAGAAGACGCCGGAGCTAGGTTTTCCGATGACACTTCCGAGCTTCCATGGAGTCATGAAGGCACGAATCTGCATCTCACCGTCGGACGCCACCGATCGCCAGAGGCGGCAAACGCAGGCCGAAGTGGCGAGGTCGGTGAGAGGCAGCTTCCCCAGGATTGTGCGGAGAGTGTCCTTGCATAAGAGAGCCGAGAAGTTGGAATTCATCGGGGAGATTGTGATGGCCGCGGCGGCGGAGGGTGAAATTTGGTGGAGAATTGACTTCGGCGGTTCGAGAAGTTCTGAAGGCGGGGATAGCACGGGTGGTTGCGGTGGTGGCGGTGGTGGTGCTTCGTCGTCGTCACCGCCACAGCAGCCCATCGTTACTCTAATTTATTTATTTTTTTCTTTTCTTTTTTTGGGGATGGGAGATGTGTTTAATTATAGGCCTCAAGTATACTTTCTAGCCGGAGCACATTAGAACTTTAAAGTAACCCGATCCGGCCTGGGTCGGTCCGCACTCAAGTGTAAATGCTCTTTGAATTGAATGTCTAATTGTTCAAAGCTTAATACATTTTTTTGGCCAATATACAATTTGCACCCTTGTACTATAACCAGTGCGGTATTTCCCTCCTTGAACTACGAAATGCGACAACATAGACTATTGTGTTACGAGTGAATGATTTAAACTTTGGCACCATTAGTTGTTGCAGTGTAGATATTTTTTTACCCTTGCTTTATAATATAGAGAAATGGTCTATTACAAATAAATCCATCATGGGTTACTTATTCATAAAAGGTTCCGAACAAAAAATAAAATTACAAAAAAATCCAAACAATGTCAAGAGATGTGTAAAAGATTAAAATACTCCTTCACGTTTTAATATGCTCAAATTTAAGGATGGCAACGGGTCGATTTTGGGGCGGGTTTACCTAAACTCGGGACTCGATCCGCGAAAAATATATAAAACACGGACCCGCGCCAACCCATACTCGAATTAAACGGTTCAGACCCGTCAGACCCACTAGACCCATTAACATAAAGAAAAAATTAATTATTTTTAACTTTTATAATATTTTGCTTGTAAATTTTAAAAAAATAAAAATTAAAATACAATATATAAAAAATGGGCTCTTTGAGGAAACCCCCTCATTACTTTTTTTAATGGAGAGAGGCCGAAAATATTTCTCTTCATTTGAGAAAAGCCCACACCATTTTCAGCCATTATATTTTCCAGCTTTGCCCAACCCGCCACATCATCACTGTGTCACGCGCTCAGCGTTTTTTTTCTTCCGTTTTTTTTTCCTTCTTTTCTGTATCAGTTTCCTTAATCAACTATGGAGCATAGTCAATTAGCCTTAATCGACTATGCTTCATAGTCGATTAGGAAATTTTTTAATTTTTTAATTTTTTTTAATTTTTTTTCTACATCAGGTATATTAAATGGACTATGATGAAGCATAGTCGATTAAGAATCTGGTACTAAACATAACAAGTCACAATTGCAAATAAAAAAATGCAAAATCAACTATATTTTACAAAATACAAAAAATATACAAACATTATAATTGATTTATACAATTGGAATCAATAAACAAAAAATCCAAAAAAAAAATAAAAAATTGGGAGTCGATCAACCTTAATCGACTTTCAGAGCATAGTCGATTAGCTTAATCGACTATTGAGTGTGTACATAGTCGATTAAGGTTTCAGCCTGCGCGAATTTCTCTACACCACCAGCCCAGGCAAAAACCACCAAAACAAAACCACACATCAAAAAATTTGTAGCGAAATTATATTAAAAATTCATAACCTGCCCTCCGTTGGTTAATAAACATTGGCTGAAATTTTCGAATCAAACCCAAATTATTTGTACCATCACCACACCATATCAACTCCTCTAAAACACTATACTCCACCTTTGCATCACCGCGTTGTACCTTACCCTCCCTAAATTGTACATTGCACTCATACCTGGGCATTCTTCACTCCCCATAAATATTCACGATCTTTTGTCTTCTCTAATTTTTATTTGTAGCAGACAGCTTCTGCAAAAAAATTGATGGCACAAAACAACCAGCCCCAAGGAGCGGCTACTCCGCCTCAGGCGGCGGCATATCCCCTAAGCCGCCGTACCACCATCTCCTCCAGCAACAGAGCATGAAGGGCGGCAAGGATTATCACAGAATATCCACCTAAGCCATGTATTAAGAATATCATGAAGGCCGACGAAGAAGTGCGCATCATATCGGTGGAGGCGGCGGGGCAGCGGAGTGGAGAGAATATAGTGAGATTTGGATGGAGAGGAAAATAAAAGACGAGAGAAAGGAGTAGGGTTAGGAATTAAGTTATTAAAACTAAATAAGGGTAGTTTAGGAAGTATTAAAGATTCATTTTGCTAGAAATATACCGAAGGGAGTTTTCTCTAATTATTTTTGGGAGGGGGTGTTTCGTTAACTACATTTCCTGGATGAGGGGGTTATTGCTAATTATCCCTATTAAAAAACTTGTTCATTTGATAAAAAGTGAATCATAAAAGTATATAATTAATTATAGGAAAAAGTACAGTTGCACCCCTGAACTAGGGGGTTGTACCAAACACCCCTAAACTATAAAACGTAACAAAACGTCCCATGTATTCAGTCAACAATTTGTTGTTCCCCGTATATAAAACGGGTAGTGAATTTAGTAAAATGGTCGAACAAATTTATTAGTGAAAATACGAAAAGATTAGCCGAGGCGAGAAATCTCTTTCCTTAAGACGATATTGCCCCGCTACGGTGCTTACGGTTATTTGACAATGGTCTCCCAAGATACAACGGCTAACTCGGCATATGAGCACCCAAAATCCCGAGTACAACGAACGTCACTTTGTGTCTCAAACACTCGAATCGAATACGGAAGAAAATATTCTACGAAGAATATTTTCGGGCTAAAGAAAGATGAATTCCATAGAACAAAATTATGGAATTGAATTTGTATTTGTTATGTTATTTTTAATCAAACATGTGGAGCTTTTTAATTATAGGTTTTCAATGGTTGTGAGTAATAAACACAACCCTTAGGAAATAAACAAATGAAAAGGTGTGGCCACACCTCTTCATATTGTCATATTTGGTCAAATAGGTGCCTAAAAACTTTTTTCAAATTTCCATTCAAAAATAATTTTATTTTATTAATAAAATTTCCAACAATCCCCCACATGAATGAAATTAACGAAAAACGATAGATTCTATCGAGAGTTCAAGTGCTATTGCAATGGGGATAGGTAGTTTTTGCCTTTGAACCTTCCTTAGCGGTATACCATCGGATTTACTTGGCTAGTTAGTGAACGCGATGTCTTGAACTGCCAGCCGTTTATGTAAACCAAGACAATGATATCCACACAATAGTTTTCTCACATTTCATCAGTTCTCGTGGTTGCGTCCATTTTGGCCCTGGAGCACATCTTGGATTCATAAGTGTTTGTCATTTTGAAGCGGCCCACACTTCTACACTTAGATAGGTTATGTCCTATTAAATGTATCCTGCCAATACCTCACCTTTTGTCAAGGTCTTGGAATCATTAAAAGCTTTCGCTTATCCTTTACCCTCTCTGTAGGCAGCACTAATGTCTATCGGGAATGAGTTGGAAATATATAATTTCATAGGAATATATACTCCTTAGTGCATCACTGAACTTCAATAGCTTAGTTGTCCCTTTTGAACTAGTTCTTGGGATCTCCAGTCATCATGGTTGGGTTACCACTATAGAAATTCTTAATTTGTGGGTTTTGATCTCACTCCCCTAGACAGGCAATATGTTTGATCTCTTTGGTTGACTTTTAGTCGCGGATCCGCTATTAACCATTTATTTTCATAATCAATGTTATATTATTTCATTTGAGATCAATTGCCTAATGGTCTTATGTGAACGAGTGTGTAGATACTTGCCATTATACATGTCGTTTGTGCCCTTATCGTAACCGATTCGCTATCACAATTTATTCATAATTGCAGGCACCGACTTAGTCCAACACAGAACATCCTCCAATAATATTATGAAGTTTATTCAACTTTTTTTCTAACTTTATCTAAAGCTATATATTCGAATTCGACCATGAATTGAGCTATTCATTTTTCTTTGAGAATTTCCAAGAGACATAATCTAAATGGACTCATATATCCAATGTACTTTCCTAATACAATTGGATATTTTCTTTAGTGTAATCCATTTAAAGGCGATACTTAGATTACCTAAGAACCCTTATAATATCATTGACTGATTACTTATTTAAGGACTTTATATAAGAAAATATACTGCCAAACTATCCAAAATTATTTGCAATTAAACCATTGTTCTTCATTAATTTTGGCAAAGTAAAGACTTGGTTTTTAAACAGTTAGATCAATTTTCTAGTAGTGTCTCAACATGAGACTTTCAATAAGACTATCTTTGTCTTAGTGAATTTAATCTATAAGATTACATCGTCTACACCCCCGTCTTTCACATCAAAAATTTAATTTTAATTTATTTTACAATATTTTCTCAATGTTCAAAATAATATCATGATCACCATCTCATGATTATAATGTCTTCTATAGACATATACTTTCATGTGCTTTTAATACGTCTTAGGATGGTGTGGCATACATTCTACACCCTTGAAGAGGCTCAAGAGTTAGCATGGAGGGAGGAATATTATCAGAAGCGAAATAGTTCTTCTACAAAAACCAAAGATGTTCCACCCGTTGTCAAAGTTAAGGAGGTAGAAGATACTTCGTTCGTTATTCAAGCACCCAGTTTGGTGGAGGATCATGGCGTAGGATTTAACGAAGTTGAAGACGAAATTGTGGATGCAAAAGTTAAAATTAGCGTAGCTATTATTAACGATGACATTAACGAAGTCAAAGTGAACGTCGACGAAGTTGACGGAACAGTCAACGAGCTTGAAGCGAGCATCAATAAAGTTGAAGAGAACGACAATGGGGTAGACGAGAATATTATCAAGCTTGAAGAAGAAGTCAACGAGTTTAAAGAGGGTATTAAAAGTAAATTTGAGGAAGAGTTTGAAGTTGTAGAATTTGTTCAAGAAGAGGAAGGTGCATGAGAAGAAAAGGTACACGTGGATTGCGTTGAGGTATGTGATCTAATTGTAGATAGTGTTTGCTGTGAAGTTCTTGTATCGGAGAAATTGGTGGAGCCATTGAGATTTTCGATTAAGAAGCCAATTTTTCTAATGCCTCGTTCGGAAGAAGATTTTATAAGCGAGATTTTTGTGCGGGGAAGATTGGTGGAGCTCTTGAAGTTGTTTGCAAAGAAATATGCATCGTTATATTTTGATCATAGCTCGAGGTCGAGCTCTTTTGAAGAAGAGGAGATTGATAAGGAACGTCAAATTAGATTTGAGTTGCAAAATAACTATTTAATTCCGAGAAGAGTTATTAATGGGCATTGGTGGAAATATCGCAAGAAATTATGTAAAAATAAGGGTTTTCGACAAACTCAAATTGTATTTGAGTACGAAACGAACTCTATCTCAAGTAAAATAACGCAAGGAACAAAACTCTTGAGCAAAGCTCATGAATCACGTCAAATTTCAGCAATCCAGCGTTGTGACTCCTAAAAGTTCATTTTTGCTATTTTAGATAAGTTTTAGAAAATTAATATCAAATCATAGAAAAATCGGATTAGGATTCCGTAAATTGGGTTGTTCCCAAAATTACGAGATCTACTAGAATTAGACTCTAACTAGTTTTACCCTTTTTGGTTATTTTTAGTATTTTCTTAGTTTAATTAGGGTTTTCAGTTTTTTTAGTATAAATAGCTGCCTTAGGACTTTATTTTGAGAAGAATTTCGAATTTTAATAAAATATTTAGAGTTTTCTCTATTTTTCTGGTGGATTCTAGAGTTTTCGGTGGATTCCGAATGTTATTTTGTTCTATAGGATTAATTCGTAGAAATTAATTCTTTACCGTGCTTCCGTTTTGCGTCATTTTCCGATGGGTTGGTGGGGGTAAGAATGGTGTTTTGTTGTGCAGCTATCAAGTAGGGTGGCGGTGGGGGGATTTGGAGGTGGTGAGAACACGAGATGTTCCTCAGAGAGTTTCATTACTCGTTATAAAATTGATATATATTTTGTACCTTGAGAAGCAATTTTTTTCTTGTAACAGTTATCTCTTGAAGTATAAAATGTAACACTTATCCCTCCATTAATAAATCTAATAATAAAATTTGAACTTTAATAATATTGCATTTTTTATTCTCATAATCATTCAATAAATGATGAATATGTAAGATTTTTTTTTTCCTCTCAAACATCTTTAAAATCAATTTTATCACTTCAAATTTCTAATTCAATGAGAAATCTGAGTTTTAGTTTAATTTCAATAAATTATTTTTTACTTTCCCTTCATTGTGAGTGTAACATTTGAATATATAAATCATGTGAGTACTTGTTATGTTCATTGCAATCATGATATATATTCTCCGAACAAATTATGATCAATACATCTCACTTTCAAAATCTATAATTTGATACATGTGTGATTACAAATTCATTGTTATTAACTATTAATGAAGATAAATTAAAAAAAAAAAATTCAAAAAAACTAAATCGGTAAAATTAGAACATTTTATTTTATAATAAAGAAATTTTGAATTTTTTTTTTTTGAAAAATATTATTACATATTCATCTTTGTATATAAATAGTTGGAAATGATTATGTTAAAAAAAATGCCGTGTCATTAAAGTTAAAATTTTATTATTGAATTTATTAATGGAGCGCGTAAGTGTACATTTGATACTTCAAGGGAGTAAGTGTTACATTTGATACTTCAAGAAGGTAAGTGTTACAATCTCATACTTTACGGGTGGAAAGTGTATTTAACCCTAATTTATATTAAGGGAAGAAATGAAAAGAAGATTCTCGAATTCCATGAAATCGGATTTGAATATACCGGACTATGGAATACTCCTTTGTCCCATATTATATGTCTTTTTGGGGTATTTTTTTGTGTTCCAAATTATTTATCATTTTAGAGTTCCTATAAAGCATTAATTGCATTTTTATCAATTTTGCCCCTCATTACTCTTAATTAGTTAATTAAAAAATAATTAATAGCAAGGGTATTTTAGTATTTACTATGTTAGTTTGGTATAATCTAAGGTTATTTATTGAGTATCTTAGAGCAACTCCAATGGAGTTATTAAATGGGTTATCAAAACCATTAACTACCATTTTGATAATTCAAGTTAGAAATTTTCCACTCCAATGGAGTTATCAAATGGGTTTCTATTTTGATATTTTAATTTTTGGGATGTAAAAATACATCCGGAAGAAATAATGTCAATTGGAAGTTACACAACTTAACCACCTAAATAGCCAATTAGAAATGACATGTGTTAATTAAAATATATAATCACATTATTTATTTTTAATTATCAACTATTTGATATCTATGGTTGGAGCAAATAAATTTAGTTAGGTATCAAATTAAAATATAAAATATCAAATAAATATTTGATAATTCATTTTGATATTTGTAGGTTGGAGTTGCTCTTAGAGCAACTCCAATGGGGAATTAAATGACCTATCAAATGATAAAACTACGATTTTGATTCCCGAATCTCAAAATATTGCACTCCAGTGGAGGCACAAAATTTATAGTTAATTTGATACTCAACCTCCAAGAGGTGCAAAAATGCATCCCGAAAATAGAAGTATCAAAATTGTAACCAACCAATCAACCTATCATAAGTTGACACGTGTTATTTAAAAAGATAATCATTCATATATTTAAATTTTGATAATCTATTTGATATCTATGGTTGGAGTAAAAAACTTTTAAAGATGTATCAAATAATATAAGAAGTATCAAATGAGCAGTTGATGTTCCATTTTGATACTTATCCATTAGAGTTGCTCTTAATATACGCACAACCACTCAAAACGACATATAAAACTCCATGTTTGTTTAAATATTAACGGGACAAAATCAAAATGAATATTTTAATACTTTGAAAGAAATTATAATGTTTCTGAAAATGAAATCTTAATTGTGATCCAATTCATTCGACTTCTACCCTAGTCCCTGGACGGGACGAAATGACTGGAGAACATATTCCCCGGAGCCTATTTATAATTTAACGTGGTGTTTTTTTTTTTTTTTTTTTTTTCCTAAACTATATTTATTTCATATCATAGAAACTAAAACAAGACTCGAATAAGTTAAAAATAAACATGGATAATTACACTTCTAGTCATTGTACTATACACATAAATTGATTTTTAATCACTATATTGCAATCTTGGTCCGCCGTTTGGATGTTAAAATTGACAATTCCCCAATTGTGTCAAACTTTCCATTTTTGGAATGGAATAGTCGCTGGCTTAGTTGATCATGATTTATGTTTCTTCTTTTGTTTCCATTTTGTTTGTTTCGACACACTCCGATTAGGGGTGTTAACGAGCCAAGCTCGCCTCTTTTGGCAGGCTCAAGCTCGAGCTCGTGGCCATTTTGTCGAGCTCGAGCCCAAGCTCATTTTGTTATTTTCTTTTTTTCTTTTAAACTTTTTTTAATTATTATTTTATTATTATTAAAAATTATTTTAAAAAAATAGAAAATTAACAATAAATTGTAATTGTATATATTTTTTAATATTTATATTTTATTTTTATTTATTTCTATAATATTTCATATTATTATACATTATTTAAATAAAAAATAATATATAAAAAATAACAAATAAGGCTCGTGAGCTCATGTACAACTAAAAACTAGCTCAAGCTCGAAAAACTCGAGTCCGAATTCGAGCCAGCTCATCGACTTACGATACGATTAGTTTGTAAATATGGAATTGAAAGGCAACCTACAACACACACACACGCGACAAATTAGAGAGAGCAAAACAAATCCAAGTTGCGGAAGCTAAATCTCATAATAACTCGGAAACAAAAAGGTTTGAGCAAATCCTTTACAACAATAAGAATCAAATAAGTCGATCGATTAAGTCATGCTTAAAAAAAAAAACAAAAAAAAAAGAATAATATCACTGAGCCCAACCGTGGCCGAGACCGTATGCATCCATATATCCAGCATGAGCATGACCCTCATGGTGGTCGTGACCATCGTGCCCGTGGTGGTGGTTGTGGGCCCCACTTGTAGCTTCATCAAACTTCATCTCTACATGTTCATGTACTATCGGTTCTTCCACCGCTTGTTTAGCGGGTTTTGGTAAAGACGAAACAAACTCGTATATGCTTTCACCTACTTCCTCCGCGTTAAGTTCCTAAATCACCAAAACAATTTCATAAATAGCTACTTAAGTGCTACAATTAAATATTGATCAAAGATTCCTAAACGTTCGTTCATTCGGCAAATACAGCAATCAAGATCCAAGCGTTTGATATATACAATAAATATGGCAATAAAATATTATAGCATCCATAAGATTCTTGCATACTCTTTCTGGACAGATTCATATGGAGAAAAAAAACCGAGTTCTTAATATATCTCAACTGATAACAAGGCAATCGTGATAAAATCCAAAATCCAAAATTGGCCAATAGATACGCAAGGCAATTCGACTTAATTCAAAACGCTAAAAAACATTTACGGAGAATAAGTACGACAATGCACTTACCGAACCATCTACTCCTATATATTATAACCTCATGTTTCACATGCATGCTAAACATTTTATAAACTCGTACAACTCCGCCCCCTCGTAAGTATTTTCCGAAAACTCAATTGCAAATCTAAATCCACGTAATTTTTAGCCGACATGTAATGAAAGTATCAAACTTTCTAGCCAATAGATAACGTACATGTACGAAGACGGACACGTTTTAGCTAATAGATGCACAAAGGAACACGAAATCACCGAAAATAGCTATTAACAAACATCAATTTTCGGAATTAATTAATCGTATCCAACCTGAGTCCATCGCCGGCCGGAATGCGCGACAAGTGTCGCCTGAGGAAGCGCGTCAGTAATCCGACGGCCCTCGTCGCTCCATTTATCCGACCAAATCACATGCACGGGCAGCCCCTTAACACCGTCCGAACCGCCCCATTCGGACAAATCGAAACTAGAATTCAAATTCTTCCCCATTCCAACAACTGCGCGTCTCCCATCCCTCCCCTTCAACAAAACCCTATGCGCGTCCGCCTCGTAACCACTAACCGATTCCATACAACAACTAGCAACAACTCTATCGAACGCAAACCTAAACCCCAACACGATTTCCCTCACAACGGGAATTTGTAACACCCGAATCGGAAATGCGGCCCCACTCGGATCGGTGTCCAAAAGCACAACGCTTCGAACAAGAGCGCGGTTTTCAAGAATCCAATTCGCGCTCAACGAAAACGCCGAATCGTGCAAGACTAAGTCGACGGGCGCTAATCCCATCGAATCCACCACTTGGGTCAACACTTTCCCCATTTCTTCACTACCTAATTCGATCGCCTTAACGACTTCTTTCGTCTTCGTCGGACGAACCTTATTCTCCTCGAAATCGACGAACCCTTGTTCGACGAGCTGATCGAACCCCCAAAAGAGGCCCTTCTCTTTGATTTCATCGTACACATCCAATAATCCTCCAAAAGGGCCGTTGTTTCCGAGATTTTCTTCGACGACAACGGTGGATTTGTCGGAGAATCCAGAGCCGGGGAGATCGATTGCGACTGCGTGTACGTTTTTACTGCCTAGAGTGGTTACGACGTTCTTGAAAGCGAAGGAGCTGCAACCTATGCCGTGTACGATGAGAACGTGGCTGTCGGAGTTAGTGGGCCCTTGTTGAATTGAAAAGACTTCGACTTGGGGGTGGTTGGGGGCGGTTTGGACCTTGATTGTGCGGCCGGCGGCGTAGTGGTGGCGGAGAGTGGTGGGGAGGTTGAGGAACCATGTCCGGGGATCTTGTTCGGATAATGAGGAGAGGAGAATGAAGGAGATTGTGATTGATGAAACGATGAAGGTGAAGTAGAACCAGAATTGAAATGGGTTTGCGGTGGTGGCGGCGGATTTGGTGGGAGCGGAGGTCGACGGTGTCTGCGGCGGCGGTGAGGTGGGTTTATTGGGTTCGGGTTTGGGTTTGGGTTTGGATTTGCGGAGTTGTGGGTTTGGGGAATCGGGTTCTTCGGTTATGATTGCCATTCTTGAAGGTGGTTCGATTTAAGGGTTTGTTTGGCGAATTAGAAGTTAAACAGAGAAGATGTAGTGGGAGAGTAAAGTAAGCAGCTTCAGCCTTTTTTAGCCACGCGCGGCCGCGGCGAGTATGGATTATTGTCGGAGTTTGTTTTCAAATATTTTATAGGATATCTAAAGTTAAAGTTTGTTGTCAAATTTTGAGAAATCTTCTGAACGATTTTCTATAATTCCTAAATTAATTGTTTGAGGATTTATGCTTAATCCCATTTTGCAAGTTTTTTGTGCATTTTTTGCACTTTGCACCCTCGAAAAATAAGAATAACACTTTGTACCCTCAAAACACAATAAATCATTCACAATGCACCATTGATTGAATAATAAATCCAATTGCATTTTTTATTGGTTTTTTTTTTCCGAAATCCAAAATAACAAATTAAATTGTTATTTTCTTCAACATCCAACCAAATTTCGAGCGTACAAAGTGCGAAAAAAGAAAAATCACACCGGATTATTAAAAACAATTATATTTTCTTACAAAATAAAATAAAATAAACTTTTGTCACTAAATTATTAAATTAATGGAATCTTCTAAATTATGTGAAATATTTTTCCAGTTTTACGGCATTCGAGCTCCATATTTTGAAACAAGATGATCGTAAGATGTATAATGTTTCTTGGCTTGTAATTATCAGATTCTAGTGCATCAGAAACTGCATTTTTGCACAAAATGAGTACAAACTAGAGAATAATTCACGAAATGTAGAAGATTATGATGAATTTGACACAATAAGGATGAACATATAAGAAGATTCATAGCTGAGGGGATGATTGTTATCAAAACATAAAGAGTTTTTTTTCGTAATTTGACATTACCTCGATGGTCACCGTAATTTACAAGATATATTACGTTAACAACCTTCTTTAACTTTAGTTAAAAAAAAATTGACTGCAGTAATTTCAAAATATAAAATTATTAGCATCTTACAGAAATCATCATCCCATCCAAATACTTTACAATTTATATTATGAAAAAAATATAATATAAATATTCTATAAAATCTATAATTGATTATTGATGCAGGAATTCCAAACACTAATCATAGTCCTACCGTAAGTATGAATCAGCTGGGATCCTAGTTCAAGAAAAAGTAAATGAAAATTGGACAATTCATAATGGCGGGAGCGTGCGGGGATCATCTGATAGTCATGATTGGGAAATGGAAAGAAGGTCTCAATGTAGGGAAAAAGATTGTACAAAAGTATTAAAAATTATTGATGTTAAAAGGCTTTAACAATTGCCCCAAGATATCGCCATGGTATAAAGTGTGCACTTTTCTGGGATATATTGGAAGGGGGGAGTGGGTTTAATTGGGAGAAGAAGAAATGAGAATATTGATGGAGAAGAAACGTACGTGTAATATGCATAAGTTACATTTTTATAATTTACTGACTTGACCAAACCGAGTCAGAGTCAAAATCGTGAAAATTGGCTGAGAGGGCTACATTGGGACAATTGTACAAGTATGTGGGGGGAGGGGTGGGGTGTTAAATAAATTGCGAGTATAAGGGGTAAAATAATTTTAGATCAGAGTACGAGGGGGGAAAATGAAATTTACCATTATTATTATTATTATTATTATTATTATTATTATTATTATTATTATTATTATTATTATTATTATTATCATCAATTGGTTCTCCCCAATTTAAAATAAGGTAAAGTACAGTTTACACCCCGGAACTATGGGGTTGTACCAGTTTGCCCTTGAACTACAAAACGTCTCAAATACCCCATCTATTTAAATTTTATTTGTAAATGTTGATGTGGCACTTTAACTTTATGATTTGTAGCTATTTTTTCCAACTTTTGACATTTATGACTACTTTGCCCCTCTATTCAATTATATATATATATATATATATATATATATATATATATATATATATATATATGTGTGTGTGTGTGTGTGTGTGTGTGTGTTAAAGCTTGTTCACTATTTTTTTTTTTGCTTATTTTGTCAAGTTTTTTCCTCCATATTTTTGGGTTTCTTTTCTGGTATTTCCGCTTTTCTTCTCCTTATTTAACCACTAAAAAGACCACTGTTTTTTTCTTCTAAAATTTATTAAAATGTCGAGTAACAATTCAAATACACAAAATTCTTGTACTTGGTGGTACAAGACATCTTATAATACACGAAAATTACCCCAAAAGTTATGCATTTAATTAAGCGCATAAAGAAAAAATGCACAAAAATGAACAAAAGGACAATTAGCAAACATATTGATCCAAAAATTAAACACAATTAAGAAAATCATGTAAACCATAAATTCACTTCAATCGCAAATTCATAACAAAATCGACAAATACAACACGTATTAATTATATAAATGTTAAGTTTCTTACAACAAACCTCCAAGGGCAGAGAAGTAATTGCACATTTAAATTAAAGGTGTTAATAATTTAATGGTTGACCATAAACTCAGGGGGTATTTAAGACGTTTTGTAGTTCAGGGGAACAAACTGGTACAACCCTTATAGTTCAGGGGTGTAAACCGTACTTTTCCCTTTAGAATATGTTGAACCAGACTAGTTAGGCCATCAATTCACGGTCGAACCCGTCAAATTTATATGCAGGATTGAAATTTTATTAGACAATTTTGCCCAATTATTTTTACAAATAGGACAAATTTTAGTTCTACAAATACGCGTTAGTTGAATTTGCGCTTCTCAGGAAGGAAGCTACCAGTACTTGTCGGCTGGTTATTGCCTTTTGTTTTTCAAAGCTCGGAAAGAAGCAAAGGTGTTGAGTAAAGGAACATCTTTTCTAATTGCATATTTTATTTTCTTCTTTAATTTATTGTTTTTAATAACAAAAAATAATTCCCCCCCCCTACTTCATTATAAAAAAGAAAAAGAAAAATGGTTTACAAGGTTTATTTTGTTTTCAACGACTAAAGCCAATAAAAGATTTAATAAATTAAGAAGCCTTTTCGTTTGCAAATCTTCTTTTATTTAATTTAGTTTGATTTGAAAATAAAAAATAATAAAAAGCATAGTTAATTATTTTTTTTTATAAGAAAAATTTAATTGATCAAACAACATTATAATAAACACAATAATACGAATATCTACCAATTTGTTTATGCTCATATTTGACTCTCATCCCTTCATAATTCTCATGGGTGTAGTAGATGATATTAGAGGTATAGTTAATTTTTCTTCTGCAGATGCTTCAACATCCGAAACTTTATTTGTCCCGAGTTCGATTTTTTCTCCGTGACACAATTTAGTTGGGCATGACGCTTATACAATCTATCTATTCCCAAATGAGATCATAATCTATGATTGGAAGTTTATTTATTTATTATTTATTATTGTTTTTTGTTGAGATTCGAATCTTGTTATTTGTTTATGCTCATATTTATAAACTGGTGAAGTAGGGGATGAGACAGAATCCAAACCCTATTCCTTGCCTTCTAGCTCGAGAGGACGAGCTTTACATACTATATTAGTGAGTATGCTGGAGCTCATGAGAGTACCCATCTCGAAATTATAAAGTAATTGTTCGCCTTCTAAAACTAAATCATTTACGTAATTGTTTACCATGTATTAAACAGTATAAATACATATTCAAGGGGCATTACAACTTGTCTCTAACTTTCTCTCACTGCTACTAATACTGAGAGCTCTTCCGAGATTCTATATCTTTATAATATTTTGATAAAGGTGAGAAGGTTTTGTTGGAAGTAAATTAACGGATACCCAATTTTAAAATTGTTGTTAGATGTTTTTTTTGAGACGAAAAATTGTTTGATGTTTGAATTGTGATAAAATTCAGCGTAGTACAATTAGCATTTTGGCGTTTTACATTTTAGCCTCTTCAACAAGCACACAATTGCAGATCGTTCCAAAGTTCAAATCGAGGAAATTTTATGCTACACTCAGTTATTACACCATAGATCTACACATAATTACACAACCAAGTGTATGTGTGTTTAATGGATGATTATTTAAACTCATCTACAGTTAACAAATCTGTGCTGTAGCATATAACTTCCAACAAAAGCGGGCCTCGTAATCTGTTTGTGGAGTAAATTATACTCATCTTTACTGAAAAAAATTAGTTTAATTGTACACAATTTAATATGCTCTGAAATGGTACGGTTTATTAGTATCTATTCCACAGGGTACTTCAATTACTGTAGGAAATTGTTGGTCTCCGATGGATTTTTCAAAACATGAAGAAGATGTAGTTGTGTTGGCCCAACTCATGTTTAATCTCACGTTGTTTTCTTAATGTCCATGCACATTTTTCCTCAAAATAACCGTCGTCATTTGAGTCATTCGCACAATAATACCCGAACTTATATTTTGGTAGGAAGAACACATTTGCAACTCGAGTATTTGCATACAATAGTTGGTTTGAACGGTGTTACATGTCGTGTCTTGGAATGAACACACAAACTTTCTACCGCATGTGTTACGTGTTACGTTTTAGAAAATGCTGGTGGTCTTAAAGAAAATAAAAATGACTCGAGCAAGTTGCAATGTTTCTTAAAATTTTAGCCCACCACACACCACCACACAAAAATGTTGTTCAGAGTCATTTCAACCGATCTGGGTATTGTAAACAAACACTTTAACCACGTCCTTCTGACTTTGCTAAAGTTACACAAAATGCTTTTGGTTACACTAAAATCCGTTGGTGATAATTGTGAAAATGAACACTTTACACACTTTAAGATAACCATAAATAATATATAATATCACCGTTGTCTTACGCAGCCGTAATTTGTTTAAATAACGCTGTACATTTGTTAGATGCTTAAACAATTCCATTTCACAATCCTAACAAATGTATCATCTAGTGCAATTCCGAATAAGTGGTGGTATTTTTCATTATCTAACCTAAGTTTAGGTGTTTTTTGTAATTTGCCCTAAAATTCAGCGTGGTGCAATTAGCATTTTGGCGTTTTACATTTTAGCCTCATCATCAACAAAGTACACTATTGTAAATGACTCTAAATCAGGGAAATTCGATAGTACACCCACCTATTACACCGTATATTATACATCTGATATGCTAAATCCCACACCAATTTTACCAAATCATACACAAATTTGAATTTTTTTCACTCTCTAAAATCTCATCCTGTCCTTCTCAACCCTTCTTCTTTTTCCCTAATTTTTTCACAAAATCACACACTAAAAACGTCCATATCATTCCAAGTTCGAATTTGAGAAAAATCTTCATGTGTTCAAACTAAAATAAAGTTAGAATTTAAGAAAAAAATTCGAATTGATATGAATTTAAATAATTAAAAAGGCATAATGAAATTGAAAAATATTAAATAAATCTAAACTCACTTTTTATGATTATTCACGTGAAAGATTAACGAATTTTGAGTGACTTGGAAAAAATCATCATAGAAAAAGTTAGAGAGAAGATAAGTAGAGAGAGATTTTTTTTTTAATTCATGTGTGGGATTTAGTAAATTTCAGTGTGGGATTTAGTATGCCCAATTATACATAATCACACAAACATGCATGTGTACTTAACCTTATTAACAATTAAACCACTGTAGCATATAACTTCCCACCAAATCGGGCGTCGTAATCTGTTTGTGGAGTAAATTACACTCTGTACCTTTCCAGCAAACCAAAACCACTCTTGCCCGTCTCTCTCTCTCTCTCTCTTCAAGTTGCGTGCATTGAAAACCCAAATTAACAGAAACAAATCACTTTATAGAGAGAGAGAGAGAGAGCAGAAGTGAACACGCCTTATCCTTTCTCTCTCCTCTCTTTCTCTCTCTACAAGCAGAATTCAACAAAATTGAAGTTCAATGGAATCAGCAGTATCTTTCAGAATGTTTTCCCTCTCCCCCTTTCATCTTCGCGCTCGCAGCAGCCGCTTCAACCTCTTCTCCATTCCTCGCCAATTCCCCCGCAATTTCAGCCATCTCCCCAATTTTCCCACCAAATTAAATCGTCACCGAATCCTCCGAATATCCGCCTCCATAACCGCCAAGCCTTCGTCGGAGCTCCGGCGGAAGCACAGTAAAATCTCCGAGCCCAACGACAACAAGCTCTTGGCCCTTCGCGAGCTTTTCTACAGGCCCAACATCAACATCGATGCCTACATCATTCCCTCCCAGGACGCTCATCAGGTTTTTAAAATTCAATTTTGTGATAATCTTCATTGTTGCCACTTGATTTGTTCTGAATTTTTTTCTGTTGCTGAATTCTGTGTGCTTAATTAGCTTCTGGAGTTGATTGTTAATGTCGATAATGAACTCGAGTTTTTTCAAGTGAGATTCATTCATTTTCCAGGCTCTTTCTGTAATGAGTTCTCAACTTTGGAATAGAGCCTTTTCATGGTTTCCATCTATGTGGAGAGATAATAAAAAAAAATGGTTGGAGAAAGAGCTGTACTGCTTATCTCATTCCCTTTTTGTTGAAGTTGCCAGCTTTGCAGTCGAATCATCTTATTGTTTCTTGTAAAAGATTCAATTTGCATCTGTTGGTGTTGATTAACATTGGGTTTTCATGCCAAAGATCTGAACATTTCGTGTGAAGATGCGCTCCTAGTCTTTAGCAAACATCTTAATCTTCTACGTAAAACGTTGAATTAGCAATTTTATGTGACTATTTTAGCAGATTTGTTTTCTCCGTTCGTGGTATATTATGGTTGCAGTCGCAAATTTTTTTAATACTATTACTCTTGATTTCAGAGCGAGTTTATTGCCGAGTGTTATACAAGGAGAGCATACATATCAGGTTTTACTGGCAGCGCAGGCACTGCTGTTGTCACAAAAGATAAAGCAGCTCTCTGGACAGATGGTCGATACTTCCTCCAGGTGTGATATATGGACGACCATTATCACTGTTTTTGACTTCTTATGAACTATGCTAGGATTTAACTTTTTTATTTTATTTTGTTAGTGATGATGTCATATTTGCTGCTAACAGGCTGAGCAGCAGTTGACTTCTGGCTGGAGTCTCATGAGGGCCGGAAATCTTGGAGTACCAACTAGAAGTGAGTGGCTAAATGGTGTCATGGCACCTGGTAGCAGAATTGGTATAGATCCTGTGAGTAAATATTCTAGTTCTCAGTTTCTCACCTTATGTTCCAAAGATGCTTATTTCGGTTCCAACTTTCTAAATTTTCAGACAGAGTAGTGGCCTTCTAAATTTGAATGAACTGTTTGAGTACATACCATTTAGTGATGTAATCTACGTAAAATGACATTTATCCATGATATCATTTACGATCGAATTAAAAAATCTACTGGTTTAGATGTGTTTGGTGTAAGTTGGGTCGCTTTTGCTAGTTTTTGGATTGCGCTAAAATTTATGGTTTGTAATTTAGACTGTTCTGGGTGCACATTTGGTTACGCTAGAGCGTGTTTTGGGTTTGAATCAATGCCCTCACATATACAGCGGATAGCATTCTATGGTCTGCTTAGGTTGGGGTAAGCTGGGCTCTTTTACAATTTGGGAGTTCTCATGATTAGGCTATTGAATTTCAAGGATGGGTTAAAAAACATTTCATACGAAGAAGAGCAGAATGGTACAGTGACTCTTTGTTTTCTTTTGTTTTAGAGCACTAAATCAGTAAATATGCACTTTCCCGAACAGTTATTGAACCGTTTATGTCTGGATTAGGCCAATTTTATGGGTCACGCTGGAGTTGTAGGGTTTAGAATTCAGAGAGTTCTTGGTCCAGGTTGGATTTAGAGTGTGTTTGGTGTGGGTTCTAAGTCAATGCCCTCATTTATATAGCAGAAAGCATCATGTGCTCTGCTTTGATTGCGATAAGCTTTTTTTTTTGAGCTTCCTCGCGATTAGTCTATTAATTTTGAAAAATGGATTGAGAAACATTCATATGAAAGAAGACCAGAATGAGTTATACATCCACTCTTCTTTTTCCTTTGTTTTTAGAGCAATAAAATTTGTACTTTTCAGCACTACTATTGAACATTAGCCTGTAATAGTCATAAACTCTATATATTATGCGTATTTAGCGGTGTTGTACTAGAATTTGATTAATGTCTAATTGCAAAGGGATGTGGGAGAGTGCATTTTACCTTGTTTCCTCCTTTCTCCAAATTTAGTTGCCATACATTTTATACGAAGCCATTACCGTAAAACCCTCGAATTGGTATAACAGTTTGTTTGGCCAAATCATTTTTTGTTGTGTTGGTAATGTTTCATAATCTTAATGATGGTCAGCGAATTCTGCATTTTGGGGCAATGTATAAAATTTGGACTTTTCCTTTTCTAGTATTATAAATGAATTTTGTTTAGGAGGGCAAAAAGCCCTTTGCCTATGTCAATCGAGTCAAGTTGGCCTGGATCCTGCATGTACAGTCCACATATTTTTTTAGTTAGTCCAAATAGATTTGAAACAAAAATTTGAGTACCTACACCAAAGCTCATCAATTTGTGAGTTGAGATTGAGCCTATTAATACTCAACGGAATGGGCTTGCTTATGAGCCGCTCGAAGCCGGGCTCTTGTAGTGTGCTCATAAGAGTACACTATTCGCCTCGGGATATTTTTTACATAACAAGGCAATATTTTGTCTTTGTATTGGGGTTTACATTAGTTTTGCTAGGTCCACCCAAATACTGATCGACCTGTGCTTCCTAGAATAACTGTACGAGTATACCCCTTGCTCAAATATCTAATTATTGTTGTTTATTTTTATGCATCATTTATAATAATTTTTTTCTTTGAACCTGTTCTTGTTATGCTTCCTTTATATGTTTTCTCGACCTCTATCTGTGTGCATGTGCAATTTATGATTTCATTCTTTCTTCAGTTGCATGCATCTATCTGATCCTAGTATTCCACCTTCCTATTGGATTCTGTGAAGGGTTCAGTTCCTGTTTTCTTCCGATGCTGCAGAAGAACTGAAAGAAGCCATATCTCAAAAAAATCACGAGTTGGTGTACTTGTATGACATCAATCTTGTGGATGAGATATGGAAGGAGTCCAGACCAAAGCCTCCAAACAAACATGTTAGAGTGCATGACATGAAATATGCTGGCGTAGATGTCTCTTCCAAGCTGTCCTCGTTGAGGTCTGAACTAACTAATGCTGGTTCATCTGCGATTGTTATCTCTATGCTGGATGAGATTGCATGGCTGTTGAACTTGGTAATGTACTCATCTCTTTATTATTAATGCTCTTAGAAAAACCTGAATTCAATTGATTATGATATGAGTGAACCGCCTCCCAAACAAACTCACAAATACAAGGAAAACATCACCTAATAAGGTGCACCAAGGGAAAGCTTGCCTAAATTATTCTTACCCGATTCTGTTTGTTGTGGGAAAAGAAATTTTTGAAATATACACGAACATAGTAAGCCTAAAACAATATGAAGGTTGTTTCGTGACAGCTGTCATTGAGAAATATCGCAGGCATCCAAAATAACAGGTAGCGTTGTACCTAGTGATATGTGAAATCAATACTTGAATATTCAAATATTGTTCAGTTTAGGTAACAAAAGGTTCTTTTTGTGCCTTGTATTTTGCATTGCAAATAATTAAAGCTTTTTACATTATCTTTTATTACTCTCTTGTAGCTGAAATATTGATAGGAAACCAAAATGAAAAACAAATGTTCAATTTTTAGTTCCTACCATTTGCCTGAGGAGTCAAAATTTCTGATGGAAGATTGTTTCTCAAGTCCTTTCATCCTCTCCTTTTAAATTATTCTTACCATTATCATTTTTTAACTTATCCCAGAATGTTGAGTTTTTATTTTATTTATCTTACTATTAACTAATGATTAGGGTAGTCGAGAATCGCGACGAATTATTATATATATCATGCCAATAGTTGAACTTCTGAAATGGAAAAAATCCTATTGGGCCAAGAGTCAAGTTTAATTGATTTATGCCACTCCTTTAGGTCACCCTTTCTGCTCAACTCATAAGCATGTTTTACGAAAACACAATAGTAAATTTTCAAATCCGAGATCCTATTTCTATTAGACTATATTTTATTTCTTCTTTTTGTCTGGGATAAAATAAAAAACTGACTTGTTCCAATGATAATTGAATAGAAGCAGCAAATCATCTGATATGTGAGATGATTGCTTTTCAATTTGTAAATACTAATGCTTTTCTTACATTCAAAAGTTTAGGTTGGTTTTCGTTCCTTTCATTAGTTATCTCAGATCTTAAGCCTTCAAGCATCATTAAATGCCTTTCGGTTGATACATCAATTGGAATATTATATCTTTTAATTGTAAATGATTCAGGGATATTGAAAAGAATGCATCTCAATTGTGCTTTCACTCAATGTTAGATGCATTATGACTCTGCCTTGTCGTATGTTTTTTTGTAATACCAATAAGCCTGAAATTTTGCTGAACTTATTTCTCACTATTGTCTCCTTTTCACCGGTAAATGCGTTTTGTTTTTCACAGAGAGGTAGTGACATACCACATTCACCGGTCATGTACGCATATTTAATCGTAGAGATTGATGGAGCAAAATTATTTATAGATGAAGCCAAAATCAACTCTGATGTGATGCATTACTTGAAGAATGCTGGAATAGAGTTGAGACCATATGAATCCATTCTTTCCGAAATTGAAAGGTCAGTTTTGGAGTAGTGTTACCCTTTTGTTTGTGTCTGCTTAGTTCTACTTCACTAAATTGCTGTGTACTTTTACAAATGCACTAATAGTTTTATGAAATTAAAAGTTGCATGCTAATCTCAATGATTGAAGTGGATGGGAACATCAAAGCAGAAAATTATATGATTTGGAATTAGTTTGTACAAAACAAAGTCTTCCGAATAATGGAACAACCCTCTCCAAAAAAAGAAAAGAAAAAAACTCTATTTCTCCTGAGAGTTTAGCTAGTTATAAGGATCTTACTTGTAGACGTTCTCTGTGTAAAATGGTTATACTGAAGCATATTTCTATTGCAGTTTGGCTGAAAAAGGGGCGTGTCTTTGGTTGGATACATCATCTGTTAGTGCTGCTATTGTGAACACTTATAAATGTGCATGTGACAAGTATTTTGGCACCGCTGGAACTGTTAACAAAAAGAACACAGAAGCGCTAAATGGTACAGACGGTACATCTTGTGGACCCAGTTATGTGTATAGGAGCTCACCTATTTCTCTGGCTAAAGCTGTGAAAAATGAAGCTGAATTAGAAGGAATGCGTAATTCTCATCTAAGGTGATTACAGTTGCAAATTTTTGCTTATTTCAATTACTCATGGCACTCCACTTTTTCATGATGAATTTATTTTTTTATTATTAAAAAATTTATTGCCTTTATGGACTTTAATTTTCTCTCTCTGTCTTTGTTCGACTATCAACTGATCCACTTTCCCCAAGGAGTGAGTTAACACATGACTTCACTTGAAGTTATGTTTATTGAGTTATAGATAGATACTATGGATTATCAGATTTTGATTAGCCCCGATGCTATTAATTTTACAGATGGTTTATAAAGATCAAGTGTGACCAATTTTCTGCAGGGATGCAGCCGCTCTAGCACAATTCTGGACATGGCTGGAGGAGGAAATCAGCAACGGTGTCATTTTGACAGAAGTAGATGTTGCGGACAAACTTCTTGAATTCCGTTCCAAGCAAAATGGCTTTGTTGATACAAGTTTTGATACAATAAGTGGTACATACTCTCCTAACTTGTTGACTTTTTAACATATCGTCTTTCAATTCTTGGGGTACTCTGGTTTGCTCAGTAACATAGCTATTCTAGAATGTAGCCTAAGTGTGTTATAACACTGGGTTTTATGGGGGAATAGATCCAAAACCAAATGTGTGATGGCCATCACCAAAGAGCTGTCATTAGCTATTGTTTGACATGCCAGCTAACTGGTATATAAGCTGGGCGTTGTGCCAAATTACGAGGCTAATTGTTGTCAATAACAAAAGCATCTCGTTTGTTAAATAGTTGGACATGAACAGTGGTCGAACTTACGTAGACCTGTTCAGTCTGGCAGTTCCTTGCTCAAATTAAAATTGTCAAAGCTGGTGTTTTGGTGTTTGCTATGGGTACTTCTACAGACAAATAGTTCAATGCTATTTTATTTGATTCTTTTTATGAATTGCTACTTCGAAATATCTGTACAAGAGAGGCATTTTCACTGTGCTTTTCTAATATAAAGGGAGATTGGTTCTAACCTACTACTTATGATAAAGGTCACAAGTGGAGAATGCAAAAAATATTATGCATTATTAAATCCTATCAAATCATATTTTTCAATTATTCCCACTCGTGTTATTCCTGGAAAAAAATCTAAAGGGATCGGAGCAAAAATCCATACTGGACAGATGTAGAAATATAGTACTTCAGACTTAGAGATACTTTTTGTATGCCTTATTACGGAACATTTGACAGGTTTCTTTTGAATTGGATGAGTTGCATGCATTATAAGCTTCAGTAGTTTCATGCAGAATTATATATCAACTTATTTCTTTTAATTACAATGCAAAATTGGTTACTAACTTAATTTTCCTCAATCAAACTTACTATGCCCAAATGTTTTTTTTGCAGCTTCTGGTGCAAATGGTGCTATCATACATTACAAGCCAGAGCCTAACAGTTGTAGCATTGTAGATGCTGAGAAACTTTTTCTACTGGACAGTGGAGCTCAGTTTATTGATGGAACAACTGACATCACCCGAACAGTTCATTTTGGCGAACCTTCTTCTTGGCAAAAAGAATGTTTTACCAGAGTTCTTCAGGTATCGATCATTTATTGGTTATTCGTTCCACTTTATCTACATTATAAGTGTATTCTTTTTAGACGTGTATTCTCTTTGATCTGTATTAGAAAATAAACTAATAAATAATTCACACTTTCGGCAGGGTCATATTGCGCTTGATCAGGCTATTTTTCCCGAAAATTACCCTGGTTTTGTATTGGATGCCTTTGCAAGATCGTCACTGTGGAAGATTGGACTTGATTACCGTCATGGTATCTGTCACACTTTACTGTATACTTATTGCTACAATGTGTTTTGAATGTTTCTTTTGATTCAAGTAGATTTGCTAAATTATCGACTGTCTTTCATCCAAACTTTAGGTACTGGTCATGGTGTAGGAGCTGCGTTGAATGTTCACGAAGGCCCTCAAAGTATCAGCTTCCGATTTGGAAACATGACTCCGCTATTGAAAGGCATGGTTGTGAGCAACGAACCTGGATACTATGAAGACCATGCATTTGGCATTAGGATTGAAGTATGTTTTCATCTCTTTCTTGAACTATTGAATTATGAATAGATAGCAATAATATCAGAGGTATCTGATAACTCTGCTTTAACAACTGTAGATAACTTTTTTTTTTTTTTTGAATTGGAAATCTGACTTGATAATCCAATAGATTTAAGAACATGAGAAAAAAATTTGGAAATACAAACTTAAGCAACTTCGATCCTCTGATCGAAGACCAGAACTACTGGTTTTTGGCTTCTGCACGGTCGACATTGAAGTAGGATTGTTATATGTTTTAGGTTTAAACCTTTCAAGAGTTAATTTGGAACAGGGCCCAGCAAAACCGAATATATGCCAAGCAAATTTCAAATTCTTTCCTTAATATGTTTTGTTACGATTTTGTTTTCCATCGTTCTTTCAGAATCTCCTTTACGTGAAAGAAGTTAGCACACCAAATCGCTTCGGAGGACTGGATTATTTGGGATTTGAGAAGCTCACATATGTTCCTATTCAGGTATTTCGACTAGCTTATTGAAATCAAGTTCTAATAATGCATTAGAAATTTGTTGATGTACATAAATCATTATGCTTCATACTTGCTCAATGGTACAAGTACAACATGAATATATATTTTTTATGTTCAATATATTCGGCTGATACTGAATCTGATCTTAGACCGTATCAGTAGATCTTTGACCCGTAGTTCTTCCTTCACATTATGCAGACAAAATTGATCGACTTATCAATAGTTTCTGCCACGGAGATAGATTGGCTCAATGATTACCACAAACAAGTATGGGAGAAGGTAAGCAAATGTCTGAATTTTACTGCAGTTCAAAATGTCTCCTCGACGTTTGCTTGCTGGTTACATGTCAACTTAATTTATAGCTTTATTCAGCATTTGTTTTCCCTTTCCGAGTCTCATTTCATTAATATATAAACACTCTGCCGTACTATTTTCGATCAGTCTTTACCGGGTCACTGGCATCTTGTAGAATTTGTTTTTTTTTTGAACTTTTCGGTACTTCTTAGTGCACACCCAATTACGACCCATTTTCTCGTAAAAAATGTTTTTCAAGTATTCTCTAAAAAACTTAAACTTACACACGATCCGTTTTTTAAAGTTGTCTCGTTTTATCTACAGGTTTCTCCATTATTGGACGGTCCGGCACAACAGTGGCTCTGGAATAATACGAGGCCACTCATAAAACACTAGTGCAACCAATTCACCGGATGTGTACAAGAAATAATTACGGTTTGCTGATGGAAAGAAGATCGACCAATGGGAAGAGCTTTTTCCATATAGCCGAAACTGTATGGTAAGGTTTGTGTGAATAGATGGATCACGAGACTGGAAACTCTCTAGTAGGAATCGATAACTAGCTACGTATATAACTGTGTTATCTAAAGTTTCATTTAGTTGATCACCATGTATATTTATTGTACCCTAAAAAAATAAATAAATCATATTTATTGTCTATTGATGAAAATCTTGCATGCCATAAAATTGTGTTATGTAATTCGGCTTCTCATTGTTACTTGGAAATGCTTTGAAAACATGTTTTTGTTAGACTAGAAAGGTGCACGTTGCACGTGCAACTCGTCACGAGTGCATTTGGATTTGAGCACAGATTTTTTAAGAAGGATCATATAAAAGTGAAATGTATATAGAATCCACCACAACGACTCAAAAATAAATCAAAATTAGAGCTGAGAATATAAATTTCATTGTCAAACAAATCAATCTGAATAAGCTCGATTTATTGTTATTTAACTTCATAGAACCCTTTTCTTTCTGACTCGGTTACAGTTAAATTATGCAACGAGCTAAAACTAGAAATAGAAAGTGAACTGGAATGGTACGAAAATGATATATATACTTCAACAAAACGAATTATAAGATAGATGAAGCAATCCGGGAAGCTCAAACACAGAAAAAGCTTTGAGAATTATAGCTTCGAGTACTGATCAGAAGAATAAACCCTAAAGCCAAATCAGATAAACGGCTCTAACGTCTACTTGCCTTATTTATACTAGGTTATAAATAGAAAATGCTAATCCAGCTAAAAACGTAATAACGCTTAACGAGAGAGGGGAGCTGAAAGGCGCTTTCAGCCTCTCTACCACGTGTCGTCATCTCTTATTGGATGAATTTAAATAACCATTAACTAAAAGAAGCGTGAACGCGTTTTAATGTATTTGCATTTTAAAACATAAAATTGATAATCACAGAGTCTTCTTCCTCCCTTGCAGAGTCTTCTTCTCCCCCCTCAGCTTTCTTCTACTACTTAAATCCAGGAAGCTCAATTTTGCACGTAACAATTGCCCCTCCTGAAAATGTCTCTGTCCTCAAGGACATAGAGCTGGAAAACGCTTGTGCATGTCTTCTTCTGTTGTATTCAACCACTTGATCAACACCTGTGTAACAACAGTCTTGTTGTTCCTTAGTACCAACCTGCGATCAACAATTCTACACCATGCATTTTCCAAATGAAATTTAAGCACTTATACTTACTGATAATCTTGTTACCTCCAGCTACTTGTATAGGAGAAGTTTTCATTTCCTTCACTTTGAATCTCAAATTCTTGACCGTTTGAAAGTCTGTGACTCCTCTTCTAACAATTCCATTACATACATTTGCCTTTTCTTTGTGATGATCCTTAGAGTACTTTTCATCACACAGAAAACAAAGGCCCTTGGCTTTCCTTTCATGCACTTCATTATACTCAATCTTCTTGATGGAATAATTGGGTTGGTGGGGCGTCTGTTTGGGTTGTGGTAAGGTATTGGTTGGGGTTGGGAAGGATATTTGTTTCTAGGAGAAGGGGAATTATTAAATTGTCGGCTTATAGGTAAAGGTTGGGGTTTGTTTTAAGTGTAATTGGCTCGAATTGGGGCGAGGTTGTGGGTTCTTTTGTGGGTCAGATTAAGGGTTTGTTCTTTGGGTTTGGCTAGGCTTCTTGGATTTGAACATTCGAATCTTTGAAGACAATGAGGTAGGTCTATGCAATTTAGCAACATGTCAAATTGATTCAGTTACTCCTGTAATGAGTCAGTTTGTTTAAGATTCATCAACTCCGACATTGAATCCTCATATAATAGGGTGCCAAATCGGCTGTTCAATGTTTGAATATACTCTTCCCAATTAGACAATCCTCTCGTAATTCTGGATCTTATGTATGTCTGGTGCAACTGCATTTCAATTCCTTCTAAGTGCATGGATGCAAGTGTAACAACAAGTTCTTATCTGCGATTTAGACAAACAAGAAATACGTGCACAAAGATAATTTATTGAATTAAAATTAAATATTGCGGGTTACAAACTCTAATTTAATCATATGATTCTTCTCCGGATTTGATTTTGGACTTGAATAACGTTTTCCGAGGGTCTTGCGACTTGAATCTCGGATCGAACGCTGAACTTTGACGAGCTTTGACTTGAAGATCTTGGAGTTCTTGATGGATTTGGCCATTCAATATTCCTTTGATCTTCATGACGAGTTTTGACTTGAAGATCTTGGAGTTCTGGATGGATTTGGCCATTCAATATTCCTTCGATCTTCATTTGTTGAAGAATGCCCTCGATTTGATGAAGAACGCTTGAGATGATGTAGAGAGAATTTTCTTCTACGATATAGAGATGATGTAGAGAGAATTTTCTCCTTCTTGAGTTGTGTTTTAAATTGTGTAGGGAGGGTCCATATTTATAGAGGTAGAATAAGAGTTCTTGATAACCTTCTTTGATGACGTGGCACGATTTGATTGACTCTCTTCAAATTGATATTTATCTCTTATAAATTGAAAGAGAAGAAATAATCCTATTGGCCAATAGTTAATTGATAATTATCTCTTATAAATTGGAAGAGAAGAAATAATCATATTGTCAATAATTAATTGATAATTATCTCTTATAGCTTGGAAAAGAAGAAATAATCCTATTGGCTAAAGATTAATTGATATTTCTCCATGACTTATTTTGCAAGACAAATTATAATCTTGGAATTCAATTTTAATATAAAATAAATTATATTAAAATTTAGGCGTCTACAACAAGTTTCACCTTAGAACTGTTTGGAGTTTCATCCACGTTGAAGAATTGTTCGCATCGGTAGACCCAGCCGTGTAAATCTGTGCCATCAAACATGGGAAATTCTACTGGTGAGCATGTAATTGGACCTCTATTTCCCCGACCTGGATCTCTGGGTTCTGTCCCCGGCGAGTTTGAGTTTGGTGTGTTCATCAACCCATCGTTGCTCTCATTGCCTCCATAATTTTAGATGTTTCAACCTTGCTCCTTTCATTAGTGTTCACCATCGCATGTACTTGTTCACTCCTAATATCCATATGATTCCTTAAATTCGCCATATTTGTCCCATCCGCCACTACATACCACTGTCCTCAAATAATTTAGAGCCGTCCAGGATCGATGACTCTGATACCACTTGCAACGAGCTAAAACGAGAAATAGAAAGTGAACTGGAATGGAACGAAAATGACATATATACTTCAACAAAACGAATTACAAGATAGATGAAGCCAATCCGGGAAGCTCAAACACAGAAAAAACTTCAAGAATTATAGCTTCAAGTACTAAACAAAATCTCAACGAAGAAGACAAAGATAAACCTTGAAGCCAAATCTGATAAACGAATCTAACGTCTACTTGCCTTATTTATACTAGGTTATAAATCGAAAGTGCTAATCCAACTAAAAACGTAATAGCACTCAACGAGAGAGAGGAGCTGAAAGGCGCTTTCAGCTGAGTTCCTTTCTGCCACGTGTCATCATCTTATTTGTTGAATTTAAATAACAATTAACTAAAAGAAGAGTGAACGCATTTAATGTCTTTCCATTTTAAAACATAAAATCGATAATCGCAGAGTCTTCTTCTTCCCCCCATGTTGCTCTCTTCTACTAGTCTCCTCTTCTCTTGCCTAAATTCGGGAAGCTCAATTTTGCACGTAACAAATTACAGTTGGTCACGGTAGTGGCTATCAATTCTGATATACCTATCGATACCACGCACCCTTGGGTATGATTGTCTCACGTATTCTCAACTTCGTCTTCTGAAATAGTGGAAGCTAAAACAAATATCGAAACTTTCTCACTTCAATATCTATTAGTTAAGGGGGTGGCTAAAACAAAGCTCATTTATTTCTCAGTTTAATACCACCCCAATAAAAATTAGATAAAAAATAAATAATAAATAGGTAGTGACATTAACACCCTTAGTGAAAAGTAATACCACACAAACATAAAAAACATCAAACTTCTTTCTTTAATACCACACACTCAAAACCCTACACACATCTCCTTCTTCACAAACACCCTACTCCTTTTTCTTCTTATTTACAAATCCTCCAAAAAATCTCAGAATTCAAAGAAATCAAAACCTCACAAAACTTACAAAATGTTAATTTACATGAAATGAGAACACATTAAAGTATGTATCCATGTCTTTTTTGAACTTGAAAGTCGATTTTTTTTTGTTTAGAAACTCGTCAATAATTTTAGACACACATAGGTTGATTATTTTTGTCAATTTTCGACACCAACTTGTTAAAAAATATATTAAAAAAAATTAATTTCGACACCTACGTGTCAAAAATCACTGTTGCTTAATTGTTTTTTTTAGCAGCAATGATTTTTCGACACATTCATGTCGAAATTCACTCTTTTTTTTTTCTTAAAATATATTTTTCGACAAGTTGGTGTCGAAGATTGACAAAACATCGACCTATATGTGTCGAAAATTTTCGACGGGTTCTAAAAAAAAACTTCAAAATTGACTTCCAAGCTCAAAAAAGACATGGATACATACTTTAATGTGTTCTCCTTTCATGTAACTTCCATTTTGTTTTCTTGTGACTCCATTTTGTAAATTGTTTGAGGTTTTGATTTTTTTTGGATTTTGAGATTTTTTGGAAGGTTTGTTGTGAAAAAGAAGAAGGAGGACGAGTGGTTTGTGAAGATGATGAGAGGTTTTGTGTGTTTGGTATTGAAAAAAGAAATGAGATTTTTAATGTGTGTGGTATTAATTTTCATTAAGAGTATTTGTATCATTGCCTATTTATTATCAACTTATTATCTAATTTTTATTTTAGTGGTATTAAAGTGAGAAAAAACAGGAAGTTATTTTAGTTGCCTCCATTAGTTAAATACTATATTTTGGCACATTTTTCATTTTTTTTTCTTAGGTTTATATCAATGTTTTGAAAACTGGATCGGACTGGACCGTCTGGTTCGACTGGATTAACCACGAACCAAACTTGGACACGGTCCGATCTGACATACGAACTCGGAAATGCCAAAAAACTCGGTCGTTTCGTAAGAACCGGTAAAATTCCCAGTTGGCCCGGTGTAAACAGGAAAAATCAAGACAAAAAACCGGTTTCCCAAAACAAAGACGAAACATAACTTCTCTACTCTTGTTTGTTGGGCTTGAGTGGGGATGGGCAGTGATTTAACCATGGGTCGTGGAGATGGTAGTGGAGTTAGGAAAAAGTTGCGAATAAAAAGAAAAGAATGAAACTAAAAT